AAGACATTATATAAGGCTTTATTTCATATATTCATTTCACTACTTATTTTAGTAATTAGATATTTAATTAAGTCACCAGAAATAAACACAATGATCATGCTCAAATGAGATGGTATTTTAGGTGCTCTGCGGATATTCACACTTACATTATTATAGGCTATATTTATACAGTAGGTATATAAACTTAATTCATATTTATTTTATATAATTCATCTCATCTTAACATTTGTCGTTTATGGATAATAATGTTTTACGTTATATTATTTTAATTAAAATTAAAAATTCAATATTTATTCAGTAGATTTATATAATCGCTTAGACTTTAAAATTTGTAATTAAACTAAGTTAAATACTTTTATCACAAATTTGCGTAAATTTTTATAATTTCTAATATAATTTATTGCATTGTAATACACGTTTGAATCGGAAATCAGCTAATGTTGAATGCATTAAGTGTCTAAATATTAATAAATTCAATTCAATTTTAGAATTCAAAGTGGTAAATTTTTAATTATACTAAATATATTTGAATTTATAGATTTTTGTAAGCCTCTAAAATAATATTGATTTTGCCTAAAACTTGTTTTATAAAAAATAAAATACTTATTTTGTGTCATTTTGACATAAGTATCAAAAATACAGAACTTAATCGATTGGCAAAACTTTCAACATTTCTTATAAACAAAAAAATGTTATATATTAAAATTGGTTCAATATATTTATATTGAAAAATATTTTTCATACATATTAATGTATTTTGTATACTGTATAAAAATATTGTAGTGACATAACGGCAAAATATTACAGTAATTTTTTGAAATTTTAAACTCACTTAAAAATTTAAGTGCTTTCTTGTTAGGCAAAATATTTATCAAAACTATGTAAAGTTATATCAATATTAAAAGTATATTTTCATTATTTGTAAACATATGGAAAACAACTCATAACGAGTCTAATATATAATGGATATGAAAAGTGCATTAAATAATGAATACAATATTGGTTACAAAATTGGTTACAAACCATTCATCATGAGTGCTATTTTAACATAAGGATCACTGAGTCCTCCGACGTCCATCTTCTTCAGATTCTTGGCCTCAAGTATAACAACCGTTAACTTTCCAGCCGTTGGGACATAACGTAATGAGAAGCAAATGTCTCCCAACTTGTTTTCCTATTGTTTTACAAATAATTGAATCCAAAATATTTTATTATATAATTACGAATTAAATATTCGTTAATACATTCCTTCATATCTAATATCTAAGACTAAAATCTAAGGTATATCTAAAAACATACATAAGTGTTCATACATTTCAATTAATATCGTATTAAAACCATTTGATGTGAAATAATTTAATTAATTCTTAAAAGTGTTGTAAAAGCTTTTCTGAGAAAATTGTGAGATATATTAGTAATTCAATTTTCATTGACTTTTATATTTATGTGGAAATTATAAAATTAAATTTCATAATAAATTGCTTATAAATAGAGAGTAATTATTAATTCATAAATGGATTTCTGATGAAATACAGTGGCCTATGAAAGGGTCGGAGCATTATATTCATTGACTTTTATTATATGTGGAAATCAAGTGCTAAACACTGCAATAAAGTTAACATTAGGTGACATTGAAATTTCTGAAGTAAGTTATTAGAGCTAAACAAACATTACATAACATTTGCTGATATCTTGAAACTAATAAAATAAAAGCGGAGACAAATCTGTATTAAAAAAGTACTCATTTTGTACACGAATCACGTAAAACATAATTGTTTTAATGTTTGAGTAGAGAATTCAATCAAAATGACTCCTTTGTTATAGTAATGTGACATAAATTATCTTGTATTATAAATTATACACTATTTTCATTAAACAATGGTTTTATTATTTTACCAGAAGTTCTAATATAAGGCCTAAAATACATGTTATTTTCCCATACAATATATTCTTATCAATTGTTTTTTATATTTATTCGGATTGTATTTAAAAGAATATCAAAAATTCTATTTGAAATGAATTATAAATGATTTAAATTCACATCTTTTGTATTTTTATTGCTATTCATCGGAATATTCTGTGTTTATGTTTGAGATTTCTGTTTATTTAATAGGATTCGTATTGACTCAATACATACATAAATAAAAAGTTTGGGTCCAATGGAAATGTGATGCTTTTACAGATTGATATGAATGTTAGGATTACCTGTACTTTCAGTCATAGGCGCAGACAAACAGAGGATCAAACAGAGGTATGGCATAGAAAATATATTCAACCCTAACCTTTGCGATTGCCTACACAACAAACTACAGATAAATCCGATTCAATGGCTGTTTTGAATTTAGTGTTTATTAATGTTATTAGCCATACATCAGGGCTTAAACACACATACATACAGTACATGTACACTGTATGTATAGATCATATAATATTGATTGATATGCTAAACACGATTAATTAATTTGAATGTATGAACGCCTAAGTATGGACTAAACAGGTATAAGAATTAGACAACAATTACTACAACCAAACGCTATATCAAAGACAGAGGTAGTGATGAAGAAGAGGGAGAGAGGGGGAGGGGGTAAAGCCCTACTTTCTACTACTGTATTTGGTTATGTACTACAATGTAGAACAGTTTCACGATAGGTGTTTCTAATGGGTGGAATTGAACATGAACATTTTTTATTTAGTTTCAATGTTAGTTAAGAGAGGAGTTTTACAGTTGTGTTTACAGATTAAGCGCAAACGGAGAGAGCAGTGGTTTCACAACAGATTGAGTGAAAAAATTAATGTGAAAATTAGATTTTAGTTTAGAGTAAACAATGAAAATCATAAAAACAAATATAAATTACATGTTCTTAAAGGCACAGACGGACAGACAGATAGAGAGACAGACAAACAGCCGCACAAAACAATACGCCATCAATAGATATATAAATGTTTAGTTATATATTATAACACAAAATACTTACACAAAAGTTTTTTGTATTAATAAATTGATGGAGTTTTAGTTGCATTTGTTTTATTCAATTTTTATTGAATTTGAGAGTTTTGGGTGATTTTTGATTTGGATTTAGTGGCAAATTATCATAAAATTTTGAATTAATTGTGTATTTTAATGCCAATCAATCAAATTTATCGGTCAAGTAATGGCCATAAAATTCATTTGTGAATTCAATGTTCAGCCAAATTATTAATTAGATTTCGGGTATTTTGAGTAGAAAATTAATTTTTCAATTAATTTTACACATATTTTTGAAATGTTTTTTCGAGGGCGCAGTCGATATATATTTTGATGGTTTTTTGTTACAAAATCAACAATTTTTCAATTTTCGTTAAGTATTTTTTGAGTTAAATCAAGAAATTTTGTGTGAAAAACGCAGAATGAAAGAGAAAAGAGAGAAAAAATCATAAATAAAATGAAAGTATAATAGAATTCATAATTAAAATAAATTTTATATTCTTTTAGAGAATAAATAATATATTATATAATAAATATATTATGAGAAACTAATTCTTGTCTAACATTAATGTTAATATATAGACACCAAAACTATTGATGCAAAACATATTTTGCAAGCATTATATCAAATCTAAAGAGATGCGGGAAAACGATTGAATAAATCGAGACATTTATTAGTATCTAAAATATGCGTAAAATGACGGACAGACAGCCGGACAGTCACTTAAATAGCAACTAAAAACAGCAAAACAACATTCAATACATGTTGTATTTTGACAATCATTTCAAGTGATCGGTTGCACACGTATAGAGTGGTCATGCATTTGAAGGCAATCACAATCTCATGCATCACATACACGATCGACAGTCAATACGAGCGCACATTTCGGGCACATATACAGCATATTAAGCACAATATTGAAGCGACACGTATATGACACCACTGGCCTAAATATCGACCTAACAATTATTGGCTAATATACAGTATATATTTGTTCACCATTTATAACAGTACGGTATACAGTATAATACGCCTATCACTAAAGCTAATGGGACAACGACTATATACAGTACTTATACAGAATATACATTATATATAAATATAACTGAAATATATAATAAAATCACGAGTGAATAGAGAGTAGTACTTCTCTGATTGCATACAATCAGCGAATATACTATATATTCACCATGTGACTAAACATTATAATTAATTTAACTATTTTTAATTTATATATTATTTTATTTTACATAATAAACATCTCAATATACAAATTGAGATAAAATGTAAAAATAGTTTTAGTGTTTGATAATTAAACTTAAATAAATGAAATAACAATAAAATATATATATATCTAATGACAACACTTATAATGACTACAGAACAAGATTACTATTCAAATACTGTATATAAATAGTACTAAAACTTAAACTCATTAAAAACAAAACGTGTGGTAATTGTGTTGTGACTAAAAACAGTGTTGTATTGATATGTATTGAATGAATATAAATATTTGAAGCCATACCTGTCCCTGCTCACCCTCCACACTAGTCAGGTCTCTCCATTCTTCGATAGTTTGTGCAAGGTCTATTTGATTTAATGGGATCTTCACTTCGCCAATTTGATCGTGTTTTGAAAACCTATTTGTAAAAAATAATTGTTATATAATTATATCAATTTATGATTTAATTTATAGTTTAAGCAAAAATATCAGGAATGTGTTATACAGGGAAGTATTCTTTAAAGATTGTAAGTTAACGTTAAGTTATGTATTAATATAAGAATTTCAAATCTGTATATTATTTGGGATCAAATAATTGTCAGTATTTTATATTTAATATAAATTGACGTTAAGTTTTCTTTGGGTTTCTTAATGAAAAATAATGTCAATTAATTTATTGCCATTTGTGTCGTCAATATATAAAGTCAAAAGACATTCACATAATATTTCATTAGCTTTAATATTGAGTTCTATAGAAGAATTGACATTATTTTATAATATATAAAATACCTTACATTCAGAATACACTATAAAGTAATTTTTGGTATTTCATTTTGAAATAAATAATGAATTAAAATCTCATCCAAAGCGCCCACTCATTGCTAAAGAGACTGTGATTTCAAATGTTTTCAAAAACAATTTGTTTGATTTGAAAGAATTCATGTTTACAGTGAATAACACAACCAATGATACAAAAATACAAATATGACCCAGATAATTCACTGGATTTAACTCACAGCGTTCATCAAATAAGTAAATCATTTTGGTACAAAAATAAATATATAAAACGATTCAAATGATAATCATCACAATTTTATGCTAATATTTAAATATTATTCTTTCATTTTTACGTTCATAAATAAATCATTATTTTTCCGGTAAAATACACAACGATATGATATTTGTTTGGCCTTTAAATTGGATTTATATTTTTATTGGTAATAAATAAATATTGAAATAAAAATGAAATCTAATTATAAAATGAGAGAATCAGAGTAAAGGTATATTTACCGATCAAAATCATAGACAGCAAATACAAGAGTTTTAGTTGTTATCTCTGCGTACGGAACCTATAAATGAAATACCATTTAATTCATATAATATTGAATAATAATTAAAATTAATCAATTAATCAAAAATAAAGATAATAAAAGTTACACAACAAAAACAATTACCTTAAAATTGAATGTTTCGTTGAAAACTGGATTCAGTGTTTTTCTGTGTACTTTTGTTTCAAATTTCTTTTTCTTGTCGGGTAACAGATAAACCTATTTTTCCCATTAAAATAAGAAATTGTATTAAGAATTCAATTCTCTTTTAAAGTATAAAATTTAATATAAAATATTTTTTGCTGAGACAGTTATAAAGTACATAATAACTTAATATACCTTAACATATGGATCACTAGTTCCAGACATGTCAAGACCGGGGAGTTCTTCCGCTTGCAGTACGGATACGGCTAACTGTCAACACATTTCATATTCGTTTAAATTTGATTTGTATAACAAATGACATGAAATGATAACATATGTAAAAGTGATGGAAGGCTTACATTCGCCTGATTGAAGTCATAATCGATTTTAAACTGAAGTCTCCCTAATTTGACCTCTTCTTTAGTCGACTCCTTGTCGTTCTCATTCTCCTCCATATTTGCGGCCAACTCTTCCATATCCGGCTGAACCTAACCATTCAATTAATAAACATTTATATTCATTCATCCCATATGTTAATGAGTATAATTAAATTATAATTAAAAATACATTGTAGTCATAGAATCGGTCATTAAACGTATTTTGATGTATTAACCAAAATTTCATGTATAAATTATACCGTATTCAGTAATTATTATTATATTGAATTATGTAACAAAAAAGTAAAAATTTAGTTAATATTCT